TGGTGCAGCTCAGCCTCCTATCTCAAGGGCTGGTTATGTGTATCATGCCCCATAGCAGGATTTACGGCTTACCAATGGGCTGTCCCAGCAATCCCATGACACAGCCAGATGCCAGGACAAACCTTGCTGCTCAGGAGACTCCCTGGACTGTTCAGGAATAGAGCATGCAGTCACGGAAGGATCTTGACTTTGGTTCAATGCCTGGCTCATGTGATCCTAGATAAGTCTCACCCTCTCTGAGCTTCTGTTTTCTTATGTACAAAATGCAGCTGATAAAGTTCATCTCAGAGTTTTTAAGAGCATTAAACTACTTTGCCTTAAATCAGCTATTATGTTGCCTGACATGTGATTCTTAATCGATGGTTTCCATTATTCTCAGGCAGCAGTCGGCAAACATTTTCTTGAAGGAGCCAAACAGTAAATATCTTAGGCTTTTCAGCCATGTAGTCTCTGGCAACTGCTCAGCTCGACTCTGACTGTAGTGCAGAAACAGCTGTAGGCAATGCAGAAAGTAGTGACATGGTTGTTTCCAATAAAACTTTATTTATAAAATCAGGTTGGCCATATTTCCAGGTGATATATGTTCAGAAGGTTGGATGGTTGAGGGAGTGGGAAGGAGAGGCCAGGGGCCAGGTAGGTCTCCGATGCACAGAGATGCCCATGCAGTGCAGGGAGCAGGCAAAGGGAACACTTGTCCATATATATTCTTGGAAACATTGTTATAGGCCAAGGATTCTTAAGCTGGAGCCCAGACGCCACCTGGGAATTTCCCAATAGGCCTTGGGAGTGTTGATGTAAACCTCAAGTTGTATATGATATTGTTTGTGTATATGCATATAGGCATTTTTCTGGAGAAAAGGCTCACAGCTTCTTCTCAATTATTTAAGTGGTCTTGATCCTAAGAGGTGAAGAACCACTGAGATAAATCAAGCAACTCCTCAGACTTCCGTGAGGACCCCCAGTGATGGTGGGGTCCTTACAGATGTGGGGAGAAGAGGTCACAGGACTGAGAGGGCCCACAGCTACTTAGAAGTACCCTGGTCTCCTGAGGCCTTTCCTTGATCAATGGTTCAAGGAGTGTTTTCAGTGGCTCCTGGCTGGACACAGAATCCTGTCACCCAGTTTACCTATGGTACAACCCCCACAGAGTGCTTATTTTCAACTTCTCTCCCCTTTTCAGACTTGCAGAATTGTGGGGTAGTCTCATGTGATTCCAGCTGCCTGCCCAATGGGGAAAGGGGATGAGGCCTTCAGTCAAGTGATATCAAGGGACTGGGGCAGGATGGCCTGGTCTGCTCGAATTTGCCAGAAAGAGTCCTCACCAAACTTAGTTTACAAGACATGGGAAGCTGGAGCAACTCAGTGGATCTCAGCCAGATCATCAGTGTGGCTGCCACCTCTGCCCTGACCATTCATCCGCTTCTGTGCCAATGGTCCCATGGCTATTGGAGAGGCGGTGCTCCACCCCAGAATCCATTTCATAAGCAGGCTCACCGATGGCCTCTCAGAAGACGTCCCATGAGACTGAGGAATTGATAGCACTTACTGCTAAGCAGTGCCCACAGTGACCCATTTCTAGGGAACCCAGGCTAAGGCAGTTGATGCCACAAGTGGTCCAGATAAGGAACAGGTAACTGACCATGGAGGTTTCCTAAGATGCATGTAGTCCTGTCCTGGAATAGTCAGTGGCTCTCAGGGTGGGATTTTCAGCTGGACTGTCCCTGTGTGCAGACTAGAAGGGCTGAATTGCTAGTGGAAGCTAGGAGGTGGGCCAGTGATCATGGCATCTGTGGGTAGCTGACTGAGGCGCAGGTGGAAAGTGAGGCCTTGGGGCATGTGGTGGCCAAGGCCTGGCTCTGTGTGACAGGGATGAGGATCAGAGTGTGGTCTGGCTGCTCCAACAGTACTGGGGGCACCGATGGCCACTCATGGCCAACACAGGCCTGCTGCAAAGGGGCTCCCATTGCCCAGGGCCTGGGTGCTTGGGCAATGTCATATATACTTGCAATGGTATTTCAGGGTTGTTCCTCAAGGGGACCTGGCCTAGCCTTCAATTAATGGTCTCCAGTCTGTGAGCTGACTTAGTTCTGCAAGAGTTTGCAGGTTCCCATTCCAGCAGCCCATGTCAGTGGGCTGGGGTCTGAATGACAAGGCTCCCAGCGACCTGAAGGCCAGCATGGTCCTCTGGTTAGAGGGGAGCTCACAGAGCCCATGGGGTACAGGGGTTTTGGCTGAAATTCATCTTGTGGGGAGTCCAGTGGGTCCATGGAGCCATCTGTGGCTCCTCGGTTCCCAGATGCGTTAGGTCCACCTGCAGCCAGCAGCATTCTGCTCGCACATCCCTCCTCACCTAGGGACTGGAGGCATGCTGTCTTCGGAGCGCATGCACCGAGGCTTTGACTCTGAAGACACCAGTGCTGACTGATGAAGGAGAGAAGCAGCAAATGGGGACCAAGGTCAGACTCTTCTGACACAGGCTCCACCTGGATCCGCCCTTGGATGTGGAGGGTGCCTAGTACAGCTGGGATCAACCGGTGACTCCCCTCGTCCAGGAGCAGATAGAGCTTTTCTGTGGACAGCCTTGGGCATTGACTCATAACCAGAAAAACCCAAGGTTCCATTCTCTGAGCCAGCAGGACAACTCTGCCCCATTCCAGGCCATGTGTCCTTGTGGGTAGCTGGGTCATCTAGGTCCCTCCTCCAAGATGGAGACTGGTCCTTTCTCCATGGTCAGAACTTCTGGGGCACACATGGGTCCAGATGCCCCAGGCTACAGGTTGAGAGGATATGGAAGGGGAGATGTTCTTTGGCCCCTAATTACAGCACCAGTAAGGAGACTCCATGCAGTGGGCAGCTGGCATTCTGGGAAGAAAAGGTGGAGTGGGCTGAGGCTCTGGGAGAATTAGGGTTGGAGAGGAATCCCTGTCACCTGGTGGCCTGGCACTAGGAGGCTAAGCAGGGAGCCCTAGGCAGACGCAGGTGGGTGGTGTCTATTGACTTCAGAGGCTTCACATGGGTTGGGGCTGATCATAAAACCCTGGGGTGCTCCAGGGGAAAGGGTCTATGAGTAGGGGAGTGACGTTCATGAAGACCAGAAAGTGTTTGCTGAAGGTCAATCCAGAGATGGGTTTTTGGTGAGGACGAGGTCTAGAGTGGGACACTGAGAGCAGATGGCCAAAGAGGGTGCTGGAAGAGCTCACTGGAGGAGAGGAAGTGAGAGGCCAGGGAATGTCCACTCCCACTGCGAGATGTTCTTCTTCTCTGGTGACCTGACTGCTGTGGTCACAGGGACAGTCAGAGGCACTTTAGTCAACCAACATTTACTGGCAGACACTGAAGAAATAGCAGCTACCAGCTCCAGTCTGTGCCCTCAGGCAGCATGATACACAGGGGACAGACCAGAGTCGTGGGCTACATGGAAGGCAGGGCAATGCGGTAGAGGGCTGGGGTGGTTTTGCTGGGGCTGGGGGTAGGAGCCCAGGGGCTGAGAGACCTTCACAAGAAGGCAGCCTGGGAGCCAACACCTGAAAGATCCTGACTCTGATTCACCTGTTAGCTACACCTGAGATGGAATCTTTCCTATAGTGCCCTAGGGACAGGGATGGGGACAGAGGGGCCCCAATACAGGGATAATGATCTAGGGGCCACTACTTGGTCCAGCAGGTTGCTTGATCTGTGGGATTGTTCTCTGAGAAGCAGTCAGACTGCAGCCATCAGTTGGGCCTGAAGTGAAGGAAGAAAAAAAAAATCTCTCTCCTGTTCTTGTCTCTTATTGGTGAAAAGTTTGAACCATGAAGGACAAGCTCCCCTAAATTTTAAGGTTATGTAGGCTCAGGCCTGACCACACAACAGGGAAACCTTATGGCAGGAAGCAACTCAGGTACAGGGTGGGAAGCATTCAAGGTGCTGTCAAGTTATACCTGCGTGAAGATGGGTTGGAACCCACAGAGCTGGTTGCTATGGATCCAGGAACATGGTCCACGGGAAGGCACCCACATATGAAGTGAGCAGTTTCCATGGGCTAACCTGGGGCACACACCCCAGGCAAAGGGCAGAACCTGCAAAGGCTCTGAGGCTTTTACTTTCTGTAATTCCATCTTAAACTTCTCACAGCAACGAAGAAAGAATATACCCCGGTCCCCAGATAAAGAATTCTGAGTTCTGCAAATGAAGCCCCAACAATCCAGTGCTGCGGAGAAGCCTGAAAGGAGGTGAGCGTAGATGACGCTGGATCCTTGATGTGTGGCAGAGGCTTTTCCTGGAGGGTCCTCCCCAGTGGACACGGCCATTATTTCGCCACCAGGTTGCTACAATGTACAATCAGGTACTTGGTGCCTGGGACCCAGGTCACAGAGAAGTCAAGGTCTGTCTCTGCCCTCCAGACATTCCCTGAGCGAGGAGGACAGCAGGAATGTTTTTTTAGTAGTCAGTATACTTATTTATTTTTTCCCGGTGGTGCTGGGGATTGAACCCAGGCCTTGTGCATGCAAAGCAGGCACTCTACCAACTGATCTATATCCCCAGCCCCAGGAATGTTTTTTAATCCAGGCACACTGTGGGTTCAAATCCCCACTTATTTCCCAGGTCAAATTGATCTGCCTAGGCCTCAGTGTACCCCACTGTACAATGGAAACGTGTTCACGGAGGTGATCTGGGTAAAATGGAAGCACAAACATGAGCATTCAGCCCGAGCCCAGAACACAGTAAAGCTCCACAAGCTTCAGCCATGCAGGAGACCCTCCAGCTAGGGGCAGGGGGACTCTTCTTCATTGCTGATTGACATACCAGGGCTACTACTTAAAGGTGTTGTGGACAAGGTAGAAACGTGTTTTAAACTCTTTGCAGATTAAAATATTAATCTAATGCCGCTTTCTGGGGATGGTCATAACCCCCATGTGGCTCCTGCAAGTTCCAAAGACGCCCTTAGCCCATCCTCAGCCATGGTGACTCAAGGGCGTCTCCAGGGTGGCTCGAGTGCTGAAGGATGAAACCCAGGCGGCACTGGTCTCCAAGGTCTTTATTCAGGAAGGTAGAGAGCGTCTGCAGTCTGTTGGACAGGCACTGTGCAGGGAGTGTAACAGTTCCATTTCCCCAAGATCCATGGAGACAGGGGTGCAGAGGAGGGGCACCTGTCTGGGCAGGACAGAGGGGTCCTCTCTTCCAGAAGAAAGGCACTGACGGGATGAACATCCTAGAGCAAAGGGGCCGGGCTCTATACACATGGGTTGACCAGATGCAACTCAAAGCTAAATACAGCCAAAGGGGAAACTGTCCATCTTGGAGCGGGGGCAGGGGCAGAGCTGCTTCCGGACTCTTCCCACCAAGTTGGAAAGGAAGTTCAGAAAGAAGGCCAAGCTTGAAGGATAAAACAGAGTTCAGCCTTTCAATCTTAGTGTTTTGTGCAATTTTAAAAATAAAACCAACAAAATAAATATAACTTAAAAACTTCTTACAGGACACTAGAGGTGAGTCTGGGGAGGACAGTCAAGGAAACCTTCCAAGTGTTCCAAGCAGTGCTCGCTGCCAAGAACCCCTAGGGCCCACAAGGACAGAGCAGGAGGGCCTAGCACCCTCTCACCCATGCGCTACCTCCTGGCACCTGCATGACCAGGATATAAGGAGTCCCTGCCAGGACCAGGGCTGGGTCTTTTGGACCTCCAGGAAATAGGTTCTGGGAAATTCTATTTCAGGACCCATATATTCCACCAAGAGGAGAGGGAAGGGCCAGATAGCAAGAGAGTGGAAGAATGGCTTGAGAGACAGAGCAGGTGTGGGAGCTAGTCTGGTAAATATAAAACCTAACAAAGACAAAACACCCTAGGTAATAGGATGAGCCTAGAAAGATGCCTTCTTATACCACTTTCTCTCTCTCTCTCTCTCTACACACACACACACACACACACACACACACACACACACACTAAACCCAATGCAAAATATTGCCTAAGAGGTTCCACGGGTGAATAAATGGTCGTCTGCATATTATCACATTGTTTGCAAACAATTGGTGCCTTCTTAAAGCGCTTGGGAAGTTTTGTTCACTTATATAGGTTACTCTGGTCCCTGCAATTTTTGTTCATATCATTAATTTGCTTTAGCAAATGTTTTTCATACATAGAATGGGGGTAACTTTTGGCCAGTTCATAGCTGTAGAATCTTTTGTGTCTGAATTAACATGTCCTGTTCCCCACAGATCTGAAGCCCAGACCACCAGGGTCCCTTCTATCCCGTGACTGCAGCTTGGGCATTCCAGAGCTTAATGTGGCACTCAATGCCACCCCCATGCTGCCTGCCTTCCAGATCACGTGCTGTCACAAGGGCTCAGGCTCAGCCGGGGCGGGGGTGTGACCTTTAGCAAGTCAGCCCACGCAGGAGCTCACCACCGTTTTGAACAAGAGCCAGGAAGTTTAAGTGATTTCCTTTTTTAAAATCTGTACTTATACATTCTCATGTGTCCCGCCCTCCACCCCCAGCCAACTGTCACTCACCCACCCAACATGGAAGAGGAAACATATGTGTCACGTGGGCAGGTCAACAGCATCCCCCCTCAGACCCTGAGGTGCCAGGGTGGGCAGCCTAACCCTAAAGCAGTTCTTGGTCCACATGATTTCCCTCAGTGTCCCTCAAGTGGCCTGGTACCCAGTAGGGCTCCTCTGACTGCACTCTGCAAAGCAGGGGGTGGTAAGCCCCAGGGACCTGATGTAGAGCTCCACATGGCAACAGAGCTAGGAGTTTTGTTCTTAAAAAGTCATACAAATAGTACATTCTTCTCAGTAATACAGACTTCCTTGCTTTACAGTTAAAATGAAGCTTCAGAATGGCTCTCCATGAATCTTCACACAGCACAGGGACTCCAGGAAGAGGGGCCTGGGACACCCCCAGGTACCCAACATGTTCCTGGAAGCCATCCACACTCCATGGGGAAACAGGTCTAAGCCCTCAGGCTATCAGACTTATAGCAGGGAAAATTTAGAAATGATGCCAGTAACCCCGAATCCTGCTTCTTTCTGGCCTGGTGCTGCCCTGAATCCCCACCCCCAGACCTTGTAACTGTTAGGACAAAGGACCCTGTATATGCTGACAGGGTTGACCAACTAGCACCAGGGACATGAAGGAACAAGAGATCAACTTCTTCCCCTCGATGGGGCCAGGGTCCCAGAGATCCTGAAGGATTCGTGCCCAACTTCAAGGGGGCTGTCTGCACCTTGACTTCTCCTACCCAGCCACCTAGATCTTGTCACAGCAGGGCAGTGAGGACACTGAGCAGTGGCTCTGGGGTGATCAGAGTGGCATCCCTGGAAGCTCAACTTGGCAGAATGTCACCTCTGCATTCTTGGGTAGCAACTTCAGATAGAAGAACGAAGCTCCTGCCTGCCCCCTTCTGGGAAGGTCTAGGTCAGAGAACACAGCCAATTGACTTCAGCCTTCTCCTGGTTCCCAGCTGGGTCTGGCCCAAAGTTGGAGGGTTCAATATCAGAAGAGTGGGGGTTGTGATTTAGTAGCCCTAGAAGGGCCACCACAGCAACTCTGGAAGCCTCTGGAGCTGCTCATAGGAAGGAACTGTGCTCACAAACAATATGCAATTTCCCAGAGATTTTTGTGTCCCAACTACCAGGAAGCCAGGAACCTGGCTGGGCTGCTGGGCTCTGGGTGTGAGGCAGAGATAAATGTGCTTGGCAGCAGCGCTGATGGCACTGGCCACCAGGGGGCAGCAGACTCCCACAGGTTGCCCATCTAGGCCTGCACTTTCTGGGGGCCACCCATAGGCAGGTTTATCTCCTAGGGTTCTCTTGGCAGCCAGGGATTTCAGGGCCCCCCAAATTCTAAACCCAACTGACTTGTACAGGAAACTGAGCCTAGGTTTGGGAGGTTTTCTTCCAGAAGGTGATTCTATTTACAAAGAGAAGTGGGAATACCACCTCCAAGCCCTTAAGTTATCCAGGAAAAGAACTGGAAACTCTCATCTTAGCTCCTCTTCTACAAAGTGTCTTGTAGTGCAGTTCAAGAGGGTCAGTTCTGGGGCTTGAACCCAGGAAGGATTGGAGGAACAATTAGGAAGGAGAAGGGAGGCGAGGGAGAAGAGAAGAGGCAGAGGTGGCAGGGATGAAGTGGGTGCCTCAGGCGAGCGGGGAACCCTGGGACATTTCTGTCAGGATGTCGATGAGATTGTTCAGCCCCGAGAGGTAGCCATCCTCCCGGTTCCCTTCCTGCCAGGGGACGTTGTGCTTCAGGGTTTGGCCTTCGGGCAGAGGCGTGGTTTTCCCAAAGTCAATCATCCACACCTTGGCCTGTTCTTTCTTGTCGTGGATGAAGAGGAGTGAGCTGCCAATGACCTGGAGGAGAACAGGCAGAGAGGAGGGGGACCAGTTGGCACACCCTGGCACCTGAGGGGGCCTAGGAAAGGCCTGTAGCCTGCATGAAGCTAAGAAGGGTGTGGGCCAGAAATTCTGTCCCCTTTTCTCAGCAGGGCAGTGGAGCTGGCCCAAGAGTGGGCCATGCTGGGGGCAGGAGACATCAGATTCTGAGAATGGTGACCAGCCTTCTGTGTGGGCAGGGGCATGGGGAAGTCTGGGATGGCAGACAACACTTCTCCACCCCCAATTTTGGCCTGCACTCTTCCCACTATTTCTAGATCATAACTAAACCTGGGGACCAAGTCCCCAACCCCCAACCTTGAGACCCCCATGTGATGAGTGACGGGTGACTGCTCTAGTGAAAGGGAAGGTGCCAAGGAGATTCCACACTCTAACCATGGGGGCCAAGGAAGGACCCTGTGCCAGTGCACACCATCCTCCTGCCCCAGCAGCATGGCCAGGTTCTGGCCAGACATGCCCAGCAAGGCCTCCTCAGTCTGCCCCAGCCAGGGAGTGTCTTCAGGGACAAGAGGACCCTTTCCCTTCTGTGAAAGGTCAGAGCATTAGTGTGGGAATATGGAGATCCTTCCACCCAGTGCAGGGAGGCCAGGGTGGCTCAGTGCCTGAAGTCTTGCTAGGCTCAGCCCTCTGGGGACCCCCCAGTACCCCACCCCATGTCTAGGTACCCCGTCAAGGCTGTCACACATAGGGGGATAGGTGTACCCAGTGGAGAAGTGAGTGGGGAATGCAATCCAAGTGCAAGGCCTGTTGTCTCTCCCTGGGAAGAGCCAGTGGTAAGGTTTGCATGAAGGTACAGGAAAGTGCTCTGCCCTCTGGGGATGGTCCCCCAGGTAGGTACCCCAAGACCCCCGTCTGCAATTTCCCACTGTGGATCCCCAACCTTTTCCATAGGTGGGGCTCAGGCTGAGAATCCCTCCATGCAAGACCCCTTAAGGGACTGTGTCCTGAAAGAGCTACAAGCCTGCAGGGAGCCTTGGGGTCCTGCTTTGCAGCCCCTCCCACAACTACCACATTAACCACTTCAGGGAGTGCTGGGAGCTGAGAAGGCTGTAGCTCTGTATGTTCGTGCACACGCTATGTGCCAGTGAGAGTGCATGCATGGGCCTAGGGGTCCTGGACTCCCATGTCAGGATCATATAAACCCCTTCAGGGAACCTCCGATGACTTGCAAAGCCTCTCCCAGGTGACTCAGTTCCCAGCCTGCTGTCGAGCAACATTTGTAAAGGTGGGAGCAGGTGGAAAGCTCCAGACCAGCTCTGAGTGGCATCTGAAGACCCGCCCACTTTTGTCGGGGTCTCCTCTGAAGATCCTAGGTTGGTGGGGAGGAAGCATCTGGGAATGCTTCTTCCCTGAGACTCCTGGTGTGGTGGAACAGGCATCCTGCCATAGCTGCCCAGAATTGAACATACTTCAGAGCAGGGTCAGAAAGAAGAAAGGGGCAATGACAACTAATCTTTGGCAGGACAACTTATGTGGTCATCATGGAGCCCAGCACAGTCACACAGATGTGCTACCTTCTTGTAGTGAGGGGGTTGACCCTCAGTGGCCTGCTTATGGCTACAGCTATCCTAAATGTCTCTCAGGCTTCTGCAACCATGGGGTCTGTTAGCATGCATGCTCTCTGCCCAAGAGCACAAAGCCAAACGTCTACCTCGTGGCACTTGAAGAAGGGGGAAACTTCAAGGGTAGCTCGAATGGCCTTCAGTCGGTCCCGGTAGGCGATCTGGGAACAGAAAGATGGTCAGGCTTTACACACTGAAGGCAAGGGGGTGGGTTTTCAGACCCTTTGACCCCATTCAGAATCCCTGAATTAGAAGTGGGAGTGATCTTAACCCTGATCACTTACTCCAACATTTTTATCTACCAACAAGGAAACTGAGCCAAGAAGGAGACCCTGAGTGGGCCTTGGTTACCACCTTTTCCCACCCCACACTGTCTCACAAGCAGGAGGCACAGAAGAGAGATAGTCCAGAGAAACCCCTGAGGAGCTCCTACGTGAGAGGCCAGCTGGTCCTTGAACACCAGCAGTGTGGAAGTGGAATCTAACAACAAGAGACCATAATATCTTCCTGAACACAAACTGCCATGCTGATTTTTAAAGACAGAGTACATGGGGGAGCCACAAACATGTCTGCCAGTGGCCTCTCTCCAGAGCCCTACAACTCCAGTTGTGCTATGTTGACTCTGGGGTGCCCTGTTATCCCCAAGTGCCGCTCTGTGGGTCTCACCACCAGGGCTGCAGGGCCAATTAGGAAACTTGTAGCACACAAGTAAACAGCGTCCCTCTACAGCCACAGGGATAGCAGTGACACAGCTTGGCAGGGCTGCTCACAGTTCTGGAGTCCTCTTGCTATGAAATACATGGTCACAGCATTGCTAAGGGGCTGAGATCCTCCCCAACAGGTGGCCCAGGAACCAGTGAGCCTGAAGTCCAGTGCATTCCCCACACCTGTAACCAGGGGGCTTGCAAGGGGCCAAGGGGAGCCTCCCTGGCTGGAAAGGGAGGGAAGGAGACTTCCCAACCCCAGCTGACACTGTCTTCTTGGAGAAGAAGCTCTCTGGAGCCCCTTCCTCTGTTGCTCCTAGATTCTGGTCAGAAGGTGCATCTCAAGGGGCTCAAGGCTCACATTCCAGCCATGCCTGGATCTCCAACTGTCATAGGGCACTTATGCTTGGGGTGCAGTGGCCCAGCACATCCCAACTCAGTTGGGAGGGTCAGCACATCCTGGTGGGCAAAGTATCTGTCCCAGCCTGCTGGCTGTTACAGCAGCCATCATAAAAGGAATAAGTTTATCATAAGCTTGTGTATCCACCTCCCAGGCTGACAGCTGGCCAGGTCTTGCTGTTGAGGGCAGTGTGACCTACAGGCATACCTTTCTCCTTCAGCCTCACAGTCAACAGAAGCCTATCTAGGCCTGAAGGCATTGGGGGTGCAGGGACCAGCAGGCTGCTGGCTGTGCTGGGCAGGGGTCCCAGAGGCTGCCTGGCTTCTGTGTCGGGCAGACTTGGGTATGACTCTATAAAGTTTATGCTTCCTAATTGTGTGTCCTTGATCTCTCAAGTTTCCCTTCTGTAAAATAGGGACAAGAATGTCCATGGCACCAGAGAGTTGACAAGAGGATGTAATGAACACTTAGTACAATACCCGGATGGCAAGTGCTCAAGACATCCAACAATGATCTCTCTCTCTCTCTACAGGGGATGGAAAATGTTTTAGGGAGCTCTGAGGTGGGAGGCCAAGGCAAGTGAGTGACTATTCACAGAGCTTCCCGGTGCACCCATGAATGTTGGGAACAGCCATATCACTTTTTCCTCACCTTCCAAGCAGAAGTTGGGGCCTGGTTTTTCTGCGTGGGCCTGACTTAGGCAAGGCCTGGACAAGCATGTCATGGTTATCCCAAGACCCAGACTCACCAGGATGTTACGGTTTCCTTTAGTGAATTCTCTGAAGGCCTCAGTAACTTGCTCCCTCGTTTTGGTCTTCTTAAAGTCCCTGTTCACCGAGCCATCTTCTTTCTGAGAAGGAGAATGACACCCCACCAGGATGTAGTCAGCAGAGAGCCCACAGGTAGGTGGACACTGTGCTCATCCACTCAACAACTACAAAGCAGGTGAGACCCATCTTGACTCTCAAGATGCTCTAGGGACAATGGAGGCAGCCAAATACTCAGGTATGGTACAAGGAGGCAGGTGCAACCAGGAGCACGGTGATTATCACATAGCAGCAGGGGTTGAGGGAGGGAAACAGCATTGTTTTCTATTCAGAGACCTGGACTTGTCCATCAAAGGTCCCTGCTATATATGCTACCCTCCTGTTAGTCACATGGCAGGTAGCTGGGTATCCGAGTGACTACTGCTATATCCCAGGGCTTATGATCAAGTAACCCTTCTTTTACTTAATAATTACCCCCAAAGCATAAGAGTAGTGATGCCATAAATTTGGATATGCCAAAGAGAAACTATAAGTCCTTCCTATAAGTGAAAGGTGAAAGTTCTTGACATAATAAAGACAGAAAAAAAAAAATGTAACTTCTTTGCTGAGGTTGCAAAGATTTCCAATAAAAACAAATCTACCTATGAGGTTGTGAAGAAGGAAAAAGAAATTTGTACTAGATTTTACTGTTACAACTAAAACTGCAAAATTTATAAACTTTATCAGACATATATGTAAAGGCAACAACATAGTACAAGGGACTTGATATAGTATGCAGTTTCAGGTATTTGTTTTGGGCCTTGGAATACCTCCACAGATTGGGAGGACTGCTGAATAGTTTCCCTGAAAGCCAAGATCTAATTTTATCTCTCTGCCTCTGTTCCCTGGTCCACTCCAAGAAAAGATGGCTCTGGCAAGAGCCCCGATCTTGGGCCTGTCCATCCTCAGGTTGGAGATAGCTATAACTTCACAACAGTAGTCTCTAAAAGAACAGATGGATGACTGGGGCTCAGGGAGTTCCCAAGATGCATGGGAGGGAGTACTAGGTGGAGGCACCTGAATAAGAGTCTTCCCCATGGGGCTCCTCTGCTGGCCATGGGCAAGCGGGTGCCCATGATAGTATGCACAGTCAGCCAGTCTCTGAGCCAGCTGATGGGCTTTGCCTGTACCTGTAGCTGCACAGAGACCAGGAGCACATCCTGCTGGGTGCAGGGGAGGCACACTGTTTCAACAGATAGAGGGGGTGGGGAGCAGAGTGAAAGGGAGGAAGAAAAGGAGGGGGATGAAGAGAATGTAACTTGCATCCACTCTGAGGGTCAGAGGCTACAAACATGAGGGAAGGCTGGTTTCAGAAGATGAGGAAGGGGCAAAGGGCTTTCTCAGCCCTGAGCACACAAAGCAGCTGTCCTGGGGGAAGGTGAAAACAGCTCCCACAGGCCACCGTGGGCAGCAAGTGAGACACTGGAAACTGCAGAAACTCACATTTAATGCCATCTGAAGAGGCTGACAGGAGGCTCCGCTCCCTTCAGCTGGAGAGTGAGGACTCAAAGACACCCAACCCTGACTCCACAGCTGGACTCTGGAGGCAAGTGGGCTGAGACTGGACAGAGAAGGGGAGAGCCAAAGCCCCTGTGGGGACTGCTACCTGCTCAGGTCTGCCTGAGACCCCCAAGGGGTACCTCTCAGCCCTGCCTCTTGCAGGGAGGTGCCCTGAATCTTTCTAGCAAATCTAACAGCAAGGGTCCTGGGCAGCAGCTCAGGGACAGGAGAGTCTTCTTAGACACTTCTCAGGACACTGAAGAGGAAAGAAGGAAGGATGAGGTTTCCAAGGGCCCCTTCCTTGCAGCCCATGAACCAGCCAGGTTCCCTAACTGCCACCTCACTAGCTGGTTCCTGTCTGGGCTTCTCTGTGTTGGGCAGGGCTGAGTTAAGTGGCCATTTCTCACAGGACTGACTGCTGGACAGGGCTAGAAGCCACCCCAAGGAATAAACTCCAAGGCCTAAACTCCCTACACGGCCACCCCACCTGTACCTCAGGCTGAGAAATAGGCCAACGGTTCCAAATGTCTGTCCCTGGGGCTGAAGGCAGCATCTTGGGCCTGAGCCAGGCAAAGCTTGCAACCCCTAAGGGGTTCTGAGAACAGGCAGGAGCCCTGAGCCTGTGTCCTGAGTGCAAGCAGCAGGGGTTGAGGGAGGGAAACAGCATCGTTTTCTACTCAGGGGCCTGGACTTGTCCATCAAAGGTCCCTGCTATATATGTTACCCTCCTGTTAGTCACTTGGCAGGTAGCTGGGTATCCGAGTGACTACTGCTAAATCCCAGGGCTTGTGTTCAAGTAACCCTTCTTTTACTTAATAATGTTAAGTCGGATGCTGGTGGGGCCCCCATCACCCCACTGTGAACTGAGCACCCCAGGCAGCCTTGGGTCATATCTTGCTGGTCTCACCTTGATGCCCTCTATCCTGAAGCCGAGGGTGGCAGTGGAGCTGATGGTCTCCCTCCATTGCATATACCGTGGCTTGGTCACAGCCCGCTGGGCTTTCTCCTCCTCGGTCGGAGCCTCAGGGTCCACCTCGATCATCTTCTGGTACATGTCCTTTCGCAGGCTGGGCTTCTTCCGGGCCTTGGTGAGCTCCTCTTCCAGGTATGTCCTGCATGGAAGGTGAGACTGCATGAAGGCTAGGGTCTGGCCCACAGCTCACCTGCCACCCCTCTGGCTGCCTGAGTAAAGACTCTGAGCAGCCCCTACCCTGTCCAAGGGCCACAGTCAGTCTGGCAGCCCCTAAAATGAGGCACATTCATTATCCAGGATGAGCCAAGTACAGCTTGGGCTGATCCGAGGGGAAAGGGGTGGGCTTGCTGGATCAGAGCACCTCCATGCCAGGACCACCCTGAAGACCTGGCAAGCTGTAGGAGCTTCAAGTGAGACCCCCACAGGGCCCAGCAGAAGGAGGAAGAAGGAGGCAGAGCAGCTGGGTGGACTGTCCAGCTCCTCTAGCTAGGATGCTGGCGGGAGAGACGACTGATGGCAGGGTCCACTCAGGACCCCTGGGGTGCCCCCCTGGCTGCCTGGAACCCTCCCATAAAGTGAGGGCTTCAGAAGCCAGGACCTGTGTTGGTTGGAGAACTCATTCTGTCCTCCACATCCCCATTCCCAGGCAGCCTGCAAGGCTGAGTCTGCCTTTAAGTCTCTGGCTCTTTCTGAAAGGGGGGAATATTTCTAGGCACAAAGGACAGACCAGAGGTGGCCTATGAAGGGGCCAAAATGCTGGTTGGAGAAACCCATATTCCACAGTAAAGATCTGGATTTCTTAGCCTCTGCTCTGTCCCAGAGACCTGCTTGGTGACCCCTCCACATTCCTGAGCCCAGAAAGCCTGAGAAAATGTATCCCACTAAATTGCTTCATGCTGGATCAACTAGCAAAGGTCACTGATGGAGGTGACAGGGGCAGAGAGACAGGTCTTAAGTGGCCCAAGACTGAATCACTGGTCTTGGGCTGTGGGGACATGCTCCCTGCTCCAGAACATATTGCCAAACTTCCATCACCACCCCAAACTGGAGTGGGGGGTCATTCACTCTTCCCCATATCCTCCTTTAAAGTTCCCTTGTCCCCCCACAACAGGTTCAGATTCTGCCCAAGGTCCTTAAAGAGGCTGAAATCAGCAGTGTTCGTTGCAGGATGGGGAAGTGTTCTCCCCTTCCCCTGGCGTGGGTGAGAGCTGCCCTCAGAGGCTGCCCCTCCTTCCCAGTCCCCTACTCTTCTCTTCTTGTCTGTCCCCCAGGCCTTGTTCCAACACTTCCCAACACAGGGTATCTAGGCTGCTGGTAAGGAACCCATAACAGAATGAATGAAAATCTACATCTTACAGATGATAGGTTTCCGAAACCACCTTATCAATTGATATTGCACTGAAAATAAAGAAAACAAAATCTCCCAAGTCTTTGGAGGAGCCGTCCATGGGTACCACACATGGAAGCCTCATAGATAGAGACATCTGGTGTTTGGGAATGTCCAGTGGACATTTCCTCTGGTCAGTTGCTCAGGGACAATGCAATTGCTGTGGCCCACACAGCACCTGCGATGGATGTGACCTGCCAAGATATCAATCAACTGCAAGACATCAAGAAGCAAGGCTCCACCCTTGAAACCTTAACCCTGTCTTTGATGTACCCCCTTAAATAAACCAACGGAGCCATCTTTCCTTTGTCCAGTTCCAGAACCCATGTGGACTAGATCTATCAAGGGCTTCGCCTTTTGTAAATATATTTCTGAGTATTTGTGTTTTGTTATTCACTAATTATTTAAGATTTTAAGTTTTAGGGTGGCTTACACCCTCCTGGGCAGGAAGAAGCCCTAATAATACACTGGCCTCTGATATATGAACTTGGACCTACTCATTCAGAGAGATGATGAAAACTGTAAGGGGGAGGTCATTAGCTTTGGGTTGGGCACTTCCATGCATGTGCAAGCATGTACATACATATATGTGTCCTTGTACACATGCATACACACAACATCACATGCAAAGCCAAGTCAATGACAACAGGCTGTCCATGAATTTGTAGGTACTGTGTGGCTGGGACAGGGGACAGCCAGGTTGGGTCAAGGGTTCCAAATGCTCCTTAGGGCCCTGTACAGGCCTGCAGGATGGGTGGGTGGGTGGCTGCACTTCTGCAAAGGGCTCTCAGTAGCTCTTTAAACAGGAAGTAGCCTTTAGTAGTGTTAAATCCCTGGTCACATGGACCTTTCTCCTAAAAGGGACCCTGCAGCTCCATCTGTACAGAGTTGCCACACCCCAGAAGAGGAAGGAGCCTAGGGGGAGATGCCCCCAAGAGTAGCCAGTTGGATAGTAGGACTCTGGGTCCACTGAAAGGTGAGCCTCCCTGCACCCACTCACCTACACCCCAGAGGGAAGATCAGAGCTCCATCTCATACAGAGGAGCAGAAACCTGCTCACCCAATGGCTGGACTCTGGGAGAGGAAGTGACCCAAGACTAGGTAAAAGAAGGAAGGCAGCTCCCATGGGGAGCCAACAGGTGGCAGACCAAAGTCACCCACAGCTTTTCAAGGGCAGAGTGCTGGAAACCCAACTCCAGTCTCCCCCTCTGTCCCTTGTTGCAAATGACAGGAAGACACTACCAACTCTCCACAAAGAACAGCCCCCAGAGCATTTTGAACATATGCCCATGTGAAACTGAGGACCTAAGAAGCTCCAAGTTTAAGACACTTTCAGCACCTGCATGGCCTCTTCCTGAGCAACACCCACCTCCTGCCCTCCAGCCCTGCCATGGTGTAGCTGGGCTTGCTGATGGGCCTTCCTACCACTTCAGTAACATGTCCCTAGTATTCTGAAGCCCAGTGTTTAAGATGGCCCCAGGCTCCAGCTTCTCTCTGGGAAGGATGAGCCATACTCTAGGGATGACCAATGGGTGTTGGTCTTAGGACAGACTCTGAGGCCAAGGTTTTTGGATCAAAGTATTTGGGAGGCCACATTCCACTTTCCAAATGTAGCTAGACTAGCACACTAAGAAGATCCCACGGAACCTGAGTCCATGGCAGGCACCAGGCTGCAGATAAGTCTGTCATGGCATGACGGATGGCCCTGGTGATACCCAGGGTGCAATGGGAGAGATGCTGTCAAGTCAGGGGATGGGGGCAGCCTGGGCTGGGAGATGGGTCTCCTGTCCCCTGCAGTCTCTCAGGGAGTAGAGAGGCACACAGAGAAGCCTGGCCCTGGAATTAGCTGCAGCAGGAAGCTCTGGGGCTTCTGTCTTCCAGGAATAACTAGCCCCAAATTCATCACTCGGGGTACACTTATTTGGGCACCAAGTGAACACTAAATAGAATATTTTCCATGTGTTCATGCAGCAACTTGAAGCCCCTTCCCTGCAAGCAGGCTGAGCCCTCTGCTGTTTGGGTTGGAAGGAATGATTGTACCTCCCTTGAGAAAGCACATCCTGGTGTGCCAGGGAAGGGTCTTCCAGGGACAAAATAAGACTCTGGAAAAGAGGAGAAGCCATGTGGTAGCTAGAGGGATATTTTGCCCGCCCCCCCCCCCCATGCCTAGCTCCCTGTGGGCTGGAGATATTGAGGGCCTTGGATAGTGGTAGGGGGTGACCGGGCACGGAGTAGAAAAAAACAAAGAGGCCTGTACTTCTCCATGTCCCTGTCCCTGCCCTGGGGGGCAAGGGCAAGGGAGCACCAGGCAGCCAGCTGGCAGGGTCTGATTTTAGGACACAACTCCCAAGAGAAGCAAGGAGAAAGAACAAGAAACCTGGCTGGCTTGGCCTACTTCTCTCCTGGCCTCTGTCTCTCTCTCACACACACCCCTCTTTCTCAATCTCACAGAAGAAGTAGATCATTCAAAGCAGACACAGGCTTCAGCTCTGAACTTGGCCTCTCTTGGGAGTGGCATGGAGGAGCCCATGTCTGGCATCCAGTCTGGGCATCAGCAGCCAAGGCCAGGTTCTCCAGGGTGAGCACATGGTGCTGAACACCTCCTGCGCTGATAGACTCAGGGGGTTATACCAGTCTCCCAGGAGAAGGAGCCATGAGGGGGGTTCTTGGGTTGGAATGGCCAAAGTTTGAGAAGAAATAAGAAAACCCTGCAGCCAAACCAGTGGCTCAGGACTGCCCTGGTCTCAGGCCTCCTGCTCTGTTCTCCGCCCTGCCTCCTCCTGCCCCTTTTCCTGTCTCCTCTTCCTGCCTGGGTTCTCTCCCAGCTTATCTCCTTGGACAGAAGGCAGGCTGAGCCTGGGCCCTGTAGTTGGGAATCTGGAGGGCAGGGCGTGCCAATTATGCCCACAAGTCCAATGACCCTCCCAGTCTCGGGAAGGTCAGACCCCTGAAGCACCCTACTCAGGGCTGAGGCCATCTGTAGGCTGATCCACAATGGGGACCTACCTCTCAAGCTCCTGGGCTCCCTCCCTAGTCATACTCACAGTGGGCACACGATTTTTGTTTGTTTTGTTTTTTGGCAGACCAACATGTTTGCCAGCCAGTTCTCTCTACTCCTCTCTATTCCTGAGCCCCCTGCAGCTTGCATAACAGGAGGTCACCATCTTCCTACCTCCCTACTTGGTATTCCCTCACCTCCCCCACACCCAGGAGCCATCCCACCTGTCAGAGGGCAGCTTTATCTGCCCCTCCCTGGGGGGCTTGGCATCCAGCCAGGGCCTCTTTCTGGCTCCTGCTATTGGTGCGTGCTTCAGGTCAGCTCACCAGAGTGGGGAAGGAGGTGTCATGAAAAAACCAGGGTCCCTATGCCTTCTACACATAAAGGGAGTGGACTTTGGGGTGGGAAAGGTTATAGTTGGTCAAGCAGCCCCCATGGCCTGTCCTGGCACACATGAGATCTCTGAGACACCCTAAGTGCTGCCAGGTATCTGCTGCATGGCCAGATGTGGTGTGGGGGTAAATACTCCTGCAACAAGGAGTCTGGCCCACCTGATGCCCATCTTGCAGTCCATCACGCAGGGAGAGTCAAAGTCAGCCAGCAGGTCGTCCATCTGGTTGTAGCGCTCCCCATCCTTCACCACATCCCCATGGTAGGCAGGCACAAAGGGCCTCAGCACATCAGCCATCAGTCGATCCAGGCAGCGTTGCTCTGACTCACAGTGCTTCTTTAGGATCCGGCCATTGGCAGCCTCCTTGAAACTCCCTGCAGAGCAAATGGGAGGAGGCCCTTGGTCCCCAGATATAGCCCACAGAGGTACTCTCCACCCAGAGGACAGCTCCTCCATCACAGCACCTGGGTCTCCCTGGGATGCTGCAGTACTGGTTAAGCCTGGGGTTAAAGACAAGTGCTTTAAGGGGAATGGGATGAGACCCAGTTCCCCCACTCACCAAATGTAACCCTGGACTGGCTCTCCAGCTTCCCTGACCTCAACCTCCTCATCTGAGATGGAGACTACCAGTGCTCACTACTGGAGGGTTAGCAGGGCTACAGGAGAGATCTCTTCACTTCATGGTATTATTATTAGCGTCCCTATCCTCATGGTCAACCTGCTTCTCCAACATGAAGGTGTCTCCCAGTCTCAGTAGAGGAAAATCCCTGAGAAGACAGGATCTAGTGCCAGGACAAGGGAGAGACAGTGAGCTGAGAAGTAGAGGTCTAAGGTCTGGGTTACATGGGCAGAGTTCCTGCCAAGCCACTCCTCTGGGTAAGTATTTACAAAGCGTGTCCATCCTTGTGCCTAATTTTGGTTGGGCCAATGTGGTTGGGGAACTTAAAAAAAAGTCAGCCCATGTGCTGGCCCAAAAAGAATCTGCAGGCCAATGAAGCCTAAATCCACTAAAATGACCCCAGAGGACAGTGCATGCCAAAGGGTCCCCAGAGGACTAGATGATCCTGGGGACTTTGGTGTCAGATGTTCCCTTCTTCTGTCGCTGATGGGTGGAATAAAGATCACACTCTAGCCAGGTTCCCTAGCCACTTCCACCTGGTGTTGGCAAGCTGTGGTTGTGGGGTGACCTGTCCACATCTTCCACAGCTTCCAGCTCCTTTAGGGCAGAGACTACATGTCCATGAAAGTCATAACCCCTAGCACCACAGTGATGCAAGCAAACAACAGGAGCTCAGTGAATTGGTTAGCTCCGTCTCTTTATCCAGTGTGACCACTGGTGTCCCAGCTATAAAGACTGGCGACTTCATCTGTTTTACTGAGTAAAATTGGAAGAGAGACTGAGAGAGAAAGAGAGACTGGAAGATGTTAGAGACAGAGAGAGGGACAGAGAAAGGGAGGAGGCAAGGGACAGGGTGGCATGGATTCTACAGAGGTCAGTTGTCCATGCTCATTTGCAAGGCAGTGTCAAAGTCACATCTGTCACTGCTGTGGCTGTACTTGCAGACGAGAAAGTCTCTTGGAGAGGAAGCTGTTCTGATGCTTCCATCCCCAGGAGCCTCAGGGCCAGGTCCTCCCCTCCCACAGCTGGTGTGTGGCTTCCCACACACAGAGCAAATCCAGGAGAGTCGCGTCTACCTGCGTGTCCCGCCAGCTGGATCCAGGGATACTTCTTCTTGAAGGACATGACAAAGGGAGACCAGTGCACCATGTTTTTTATTTTTCTCCATGATTTGCTCTAGAAACAAGCAAACAAAAAGTTCTACATTAGAAAGACAGCCACAACTTTCTGGTTAGGATGTAAATCAATGGGGCCATAAGGCAGGGGTGCCACGTCCACAGCACAGGTGCCCTTGGGACACTTCAAGCACCTTCCTGGTGTCATCCAAATGGTGCAGTCACATGTGGCATTGTCCCATTTTATAAATAGGCTTAGCAAGATGCTCAGGGGGTCTCCAGGGACGAGGGTCAGGGATAGGTGACGGAGGAAGGCAAAGTGCTCCCAATCCAGTGCTCCCCTTTTCGGATCCTTCCCCAGTATGTGCCCTTCTTTGTGGTCCCTCTCAGGGCCTCGGTTTCCTCGCTGTCTAGTGAGAGACAGACAGCTGTTCCACCAGGCTTCTGGGATGAATGGGCACCAGAACTCTGGAAAACGACCTCCCTCATGCAAAGTGCAATGCTCCTCTGAGGATGATTTCAGCAGGCCACTGTCACCCAGCTGCAGTGTTGCACTGCACATTCTATTTGCAGATGTGGTAGCAACAGAAGTAGCTCCTGCCTACAAGTGGTTTGAAGAAAGACTTTAAAAGGACTTTAAAGGGACAGCACTTCCCACCCATGACCTCAGTGTCCAAGGAGGTGAAAAGTCCACAGCTCTCTCCTTTACTTTCTTCTTAGGATGTTTCTTAAGTCAAATGGCCAGAAACGTCAGTGGAGGAGGGGGTGTCCTTTGGACAGAAAGGAAAACTAAGGTTTAACCTTATTTTATTTTTACCACAAGCATACAGGCAGTTATTAATATTTCCATTTGTTCCTGAGCTTCCAAGTCATAAGAGAGAAAATTGGGATTTAAATTAGTCTCATCTTGGAACCAATCTAGGTACCCTTCAACAGATGAATGGATAAAGAAAATGTGGCATATATACCTAATGAAATATTATTCAGGCATACAAAAGAATGACTTTATAACTTTTGCTGGTAAATAAATGGATCTGGAGACTATCATGCTAAGTGACATAAACCAATCCAAAAAAAACAAAGGTTGAATGTTCTCTCTAATATGCAGATGCTGACTCACAACAAGGGGCAGGCACAGAAGTTCAGGGGATTAGACAAAGGGGAATAAAGGGAAGGAAGAAGGGATGGAAACAGGAAAGACAGTAGAATGAATCGGATATAACTTTCTTCTGCTCATACATGACCAGTAACTCCATATCACGTACAACCACAAGAATGAGATCCTAATTAGAATAAGTTATACTCCAAGTATGTATGTATACTTTCATGTATATTTAAAAAGAACAAATAAATAAATTAACCTCATCTATATAGCTCCTTACAAAAAAAAAATCCCTTTCCCTCCAGAAAGAAATATGTCCACAGCAGGGGAAATAATCCTTATGTTAACTTTAAAAAGAATGGATCAAATGTCCTCCCAAACACTCCAGCTCAAAAGGGAGGGAAAGAACCTGTAATAGGAAGCATTTCAAGGTCCTGAGAAAGTGGGTCCCTGACCAGCCAAATCAGAGAGCAAAAGTCACAACAAGCAAGGCTCTGAGCTGGGAAAAACAAGGAACTGTGCAGAAGAGGGAGATGATGGGTCGGCGGGACCTCTCCTTTCCCAGTCCTCAAAAGCACCCGTGGAGGAAGTGGAGGCTGAGGAATCTCAAGGTGAAATCAGCCTCCTTTGCGTTTCTCTTTGGTGAGACTGCTCGGTCATCGCTGCTCTGTCATCAAGTTTTCAAGTGAAAATCTGTTGAAGGACAGGAAGTCTTTCCCACTCAACCTGGTAACTTCCGTCCCCTTCCCAGAAACTTCCACCCTGCCACCAAGACTGACTGGTTCTTAAGTGAGGGCAGCACAGTGCAAGGCCATGTGACAAAGGGCCGGCCTCTGCTGACAAGGATGTTTTTCCTAGATGGTTCTGATGGAGATGGCCAAAGAAGGCTGGGAAGGCTGCAGCACTTCTTATCTAAGCTCCCAGAAGGCTGCGTAAACAATCAGGCAGACAATGGTGAGGGCAACAATGGAGGGGCAGAATTACACAAGGAGAACCAAGCAGGAGCTCAGTCAGCGCTCTCAGAGGCCATTAAGGTAGGTCCAAAGGAAAAATGCACAGGCCCTCACCACCTGCTGGGCACATCCCTGCAGCAGAGGACAAGGGTCTGACAGGCTGTGGGCTGCAAGGAGGAAGAGGTGCTCCCTATCCCAGGCCCTTCCCCAGCAAGGAATAGCTAAACTCCACAATCTTCCTTCATGGCCCTTCTCAGGGCCTCTGTTTCCTCTAGAAAGCTGGTCCACCAGGCTCCTGGGACTGATGGACATGCTAAGGACCCTGGAAAATGATCTCCCTCATGCAACAAGGCAAAACAAAGATGACTACCAGAAAGGGAGGATCTTGTGTGGTGAGTCCTCATGGGGTCACAGGTAATTTGAGGACAGACTCAAGAGACAGAAGGAGACAACTCCAGCAGGACAGACCTGAAGCAGTTGGCACCAGATCAAGCAGGCACAGAGGCTGGGAAGTGAAGGGAGCACAAGCAGGGGAGGAAGTTGTAGATGCCCCATGGAGAAATTGGGACTCGAGAGTGAGGGATGGGTATGGGAAGGCAGCCAGGACCCTGCAGTTAGGACCCTGGCCTTCCTCACTGATGGCCCTTGAACAAGTCCCTGACCCTTTTCTTGTCTATTAAATGGGAGTAATGCATAGACCCTTTTCTCCCAGGAGATAGAGCTATTAGAAGACTGCATGGGCTCAGGGGTATTTGTGGAGAAGCCTTTAGGTCTCTGTGTTCAAGGAAGGGACACAGGGGTCTCTGAAGATACCCTGGAAACAATCATTCTGGGCTAAACAGAGGTATTGTCATAGGGACTGGAGAATAAAGACAACAGAGCCTCCGACTGGTTCAGACCCATGCTGTTGGTAAGAAGCTTCCTGCAGTCCCATAAGGACACCAGGCATAGTGAGCCTGTGACCCCAGGAGGCTGGAGGGAACCATGCTGGACAAGAAAGCAGGACATGGGCCCAGCAGAGGCACTGGAAGCTGTGAAACCTTTCCTTCCCCAATATTTCTTCCAAGGCTAAAGACCAGCGGTCCAAAACAGAAAGAGGGGTACTCCAGGGTGGGGAGCCCCTGTCAAGGTCAGCGTGTTCAAGGGCCTCCCAATACTCCTGAGCTCTGAGGAGGTGGGGCAGCCTTCCAATTGATTTCCCTTTTCCCATACCTCCTCCCTCCATTTGGAAGTATTTCTTCACCATGAGAATGGGCAGAAATTCTCAAGAGTCCGGCCATCCCAAGGCTGCTCTGCCTGGACAAGGACTGTGGAATATTCCACTGGCGAGGAATGCCATGCCTCTGCCCTCGAGACTCCTGCCCTCTTCCTGGCAGCAGCATGCAGGGGTTTTCCCAGGGGGGCGTGGGGGGCGGCTGTAAAATAGCAGCACCCAGGCAGTGGCCAAGTTGCTGCCAAGCATTAAGCAAAAAAAGTTCTTTCCAGATCCAGGGCCAGGGTAGGGAGAGGAAGGTGCAGGGTGAAACATACCCTCCTGCCCTAGCTCTGAGGGGCGGAGAAAAATAAAAGGATGAGAGGACATGACAGGATCATTCCCTTCTGATGGTCCTGAGACCATAGCATCCAGCTCAGAAGTCAGACCTACTTCTGGTAGAAGCTGCTTTCCAGGTAGTGGGTGAGGGCAGGTTAGGCAGATGGTCTTGCCTCCAAGCCCTGTGCTGCTGAAGGAAGCCACAGTCCTCAGAAATGGATTTCGGGCCTCTTCCCCTGGCTGACAGGTGGTGAGGCAAGAAGGAAGGCAGCCAGACAACCCGGAGGAATCTCATCCAGGGGAACGTAGCACTGTCAGTCCTGGCCCTCCTCCAGGGTAGATTCTCAACAGCAGACTCCATAGTTTTCTAGTCCGAAACCAGATTATAGACCCAGACTTCTGGTTTCTGAAGCTGAGCAACCAGCAACATCAAAGCGACCTTCAAATGCCTCCAACGTGGTGGTCTGGCAAAGAGTACCTGGGTACCTACTGATTTCACTGGCTTGGCTCCTCCATCACTTCCCAACCTTCGGGGGCATCCTCCGAGGACCCTTCCCAGAGTGCCCCAACAGCTCCATTGGCATGCCCAGTCCCCACTGGCACACTGGGCTGCAGGGTCCTCCTAATGTGAATCTGAGGCCATTAGCTAGCTGACTGACCAGATCTACTGGGTCATGTTGCTGGCTGGCATGCAGTTCTGGGATCTACCTATCCAATGAGTAAATGGGTGGTCTTCCTAAGTCTGCTGAGCATTGCAGTGCAGAGGGACTCACTGCTGGCTGGCATAGCTCTGTCATCTCACTGGGAGATAAAAGAGCTCATTTCCATAGATTCCCAGACGAATCCTCCAACCCCACAGCCGGCACAGGGTCTGGTGTGTGCATCTGTAACTACTGTCATTTGCCAAGGTCTGGCTATGTGAAAGGCACTGGGCCAGGGGCACATGACCTTGTTCTGACCTTCACAACAACCTGATAATTGATAGGGGAGCATTTTCTCCATTTTACCTCTGGCCCTAGGCTCAGAATTGCCCAGAGCCCTTAAGAACCCAGGGTAGAAATGATCTAACCTCCAGTGGGACTGCCCTAGCCCAGGCCGAGCCCAAGGGAGGAAGTCTAGACAGGGTCTCCAATTCCATGTGGCTATGCAGACCAAATTCCAAACCTCCCAATGAGGTTCGTGGTCCCTGGGGATATGCAATCCTCTAGCTGATTCTCCCAGTCAGGCATCCCCAGTTGTGCTACAGGGAAACACTGTATTAAACAAATAAGAAGGCCACCTGGCATAACCTCCACATCTGGCCTTTGTCTTCCATAACACAGGCAAAAGAGAAATGGTGGGGAGCAGGAAGTGAGGGAGGGGAAGCAGGGACCCAAAGCCACGGGCTGTGGGGAAGAAAGGACCTCGGGCCATCCACTTATGTGTGCCTTAGCCATTATCAGGATCAGCCACGTGATATTCAGGTCCAGCCCAAA